TCATACCAGTAAATGTTGTTTTAATGTTTATGCACTCTTTCTTTCACATTACTTGTTTGTTCTAACACATTTTCTTGAGGGGCAACATCGATGGTCCTTCTATTTCTGAGACCAAGATGGTCCTTTCACTTGGGATCATGGTCAGCGAAATTGAGAAGGATGACGAGGCTTTCTTGTGAGTCTCAATCCCAAAGAAACCAAAACTCAAGAAGAGCCAATCTGTGTGCAATGCAAGAAAGAGGGAGGAAGTTTCTAAGAGGAATTGGGCCTCATCTTCTTCAGCTATACTTGATCAATGGATAGAGCCTAAGAGAAGGAAGGGGATACCATCAACTTCATTAGTCCTTAAGAAGTCTCCTCCTCTACTTCTTTTTGTTAAGGTCAGTGCTAAAAGGGAAGGCCTTCAATCTAAACATTCCTGTCGAGTAATCTTATCAAATGAGTTAGAGGATGGCGAATTGAGCCCTCTTCAAGCCAGCGGTTTAAAATCTCTAAGAGCTCAAGCAACTCCAATCTAATTGGCTGCTGTAGAACCTCAAGTAGCTACTTCTTCTGTGGCCTCAGAGATTTTGCAAATTGTTGATCAAGAAGGTGCTATTAGACCAATAAACTTTAAGGCATTTGTGTTAGATCAGTTCATGCTTGGTAATACTGGCGTAGAAGAGGTGGCTACTAGGTCGATGGATTTTAGGGTACTTATGTTAGATCAGCTTATGCCTGGTGATACCAATGTAACAAGTGTTGATCTTTCAACTAAGGTGCCTTTATTAGCACTCTTAGCTATGGGCCCTGAAGTGCATGCATTTGAGTTAGCTACCCCTAAGGTAAGAGTTAATGAGGTTGTAGACCTTGAGATCGTCCCTCACTTAGCAGATAAAGGCAAGATTGTGGTGAATTCGGATTAGGTATGTCTCTACTCTTAGTTTATTCTCTATTATTATGTTGGTACTTTTATTGACTCATTGTTTGTGCCATCTTAGATGCCAATCTCAACACAGACAGTCTCCACTGGTACTCTTTTAGCTCATCTCTTATTTATGATAAAGAGGTTATCGGGGATGCTTGGAAGGTCATTTAGTTTCACATTAGTCAAAAACCCTATGTTACTCCTATTTCACATCGGTTATGAAGAATTCCTCTAGGCTGTATCAGTCTTAGAGAAAGCATTTCCATCGCCTGAGGTGGAGCTTCTTCATCCCCAGCTCCTTAATTATTATGGTACGATCAACCGATACCATGTGGAGCTAATGTCCTTGTCAAACTACCTTTTAAAGAACTGGTCTATTAGGGATGAGTATAGTGATACCATGGCTTGGATGATTGTCACTAGGAGTCAGGCTGGGGATATTACCCCTAGAGTAGCCCATCTTAATTCTCTACGGGCTAAAGTGGCCGACCTAAGACAGCAACTGGCGATTGTCGAGGAAGAGGTGGCATGGGTTGAAGAGAGTACTGTGGAGTCCACACTTGAGGTTGCTATGAAGGAGCTATAAGAGTTACAAGCCAATTTTAAATAAAAGCTCCGTTTCATAACCAAGTTGGATACAGCCTTGTGTTGGCATCGATCTTTGACTGTTGAACTAGATGTGGCCTTAGAGGTGTGGGACATTATTCAAGCTCAAATTTTGGAGTGATTTGGGTTGGCTTTTTGTACACCACAATTTTCATAAATATACATATATATTTAAAATTTGTTATGTCTTTGTGTATCTTAAGGCCACTCTAGGCCTTGGGTCTTTTATGCCTGGTTTCTTTTCCTAAAATCACTCTAGGCCTCAGGCCTTTATGCTTGTTCTAGTGACGGCCAATATTTTTTGAAATATTTTCTATTTATGGCTGGAATCCCATCGAGATTAGATAACCAGTACACATTACCTTGAAGTACTTTACTAATTTTGAATGGTCCTTCCTAATTAGGTGAAAATTTGCTAAGCACCTTGCCTTTAGTATGAGGTGGTAGAATAAGTTTTCACACAAGTTCGCTTGTTTAAAATTGCTTCTTTTTTATTTTTTAATTATATATTTTTGAAACTTCTTCCTTTTGGGCAATCATGTGATCCAGCGCTTGTAAATGAATTTAATCTATTTGAATTAACTCATTCATCATGGCTTCATCGTATTCCCCCGAAGGCATTCCTAAGCTATTAGTCGTATGTAATGAAGGAATAGCTACTTCCATTGGTAGTATGGCATCATGCTTGTAAGTTAAGACATATAGGCTCATGCTAGTGGCTTCTCTCTTTGAAGTTCTATAAGCCTATAATGCTTTAGGAAGTCATTTACGCCATTCTCTAGGGTTTTCTTTGATCATTTTCTTTAGAATTCCTAGGATCACCTTATTAGAAGCTTCAACTTGTCCATTTGCTTAAGGATAATGTGGTGAAAAGGTTAATAATTTAATCCCACTCTCCTCGACAAAACCTTGAAACTGCTTCTAGTGAATATAGTCCCTTGATTTGTCTTGATTTTTTGAGGATTCTTAAAACGAAATATAATTTTTCACTAACAAAATTGATTAGATCATCTTGCTTGAATTTTTTCATAGGGGTAGCCTCTACCACTTTGTGAAATAATTTGTGGCCACTAAGATAAAAGAGTGGCCCTTGGAAGCGGCTGGATAAATTTTCCTTGTCCATAGCCCATCCTCTAAAGGGTTATGGTTTAATGATAAGATGGATATATGGTGCTAGTATTTGTTGTTTTGGCCCGTGCATCTAGCAGTTCCTATATCTCTTAACGTATTTAATGCAATCTTTAGTCATTAATGGCCAGTAATATCCATGCCTACTCACCATCCATTGCATTTTTGGCCCCAACTGATGAGCCCCATAAACCCCTTTATGTATCTGTCTTAGAACTTTCATGTATTCTATAAACACTAAACAGTTAAGTAATAATCAATTGGGAACTGTGATGTATTTTATAAACACTAAACATTTAAGTAATGATCCATTAGGACCTTTTCTATACAACTCATCTTCAATTAAAATGAAGTGCTGAGCGTATATTCTAGTTTTGTGAGAGTATTGTTAGTTAGGATTTTGTAAATAACTTTTGAAATTATCTCACCAATCTTGAGCTAACCCTTATGGGACCATGTTGTACTATATCGTCAAACCTCATTAAAATATTAAAAGGTGCTCCTTTTGTTTTACTACAATTATTTTTCTAGTAAGTTCTGGTGAAAGCCTTAGCCCCGATGCTATCTATGCTAACTCATTGTGTAATATCTTAAGTTTTCAATCTAAAAATTATCAGTGTTTTTAATAGTATTTTGATCAACTTAGATAAGTTATTGATTAATGATGTTTATAGAAAACTAATATAATTTTTAGATCCTTGGACAGTCATAGAAGAAGGCTAAGTCAAAGTTCGAGCGAGTCATAGCACGGAAAGAAGTTTAAATTGTGATGGGGCTCTTTGTGCCATGTGACGTGGCGGATGCATCAATATGCTGTGACGCACGTGCAAAATCATTATTTTATCAATCTCAAATTAGACCTGAAATCAAAGAGGAGAAAGAGAGAGATCGAAAGGAACGATGAATGACGGGCTTGTGACTGTTAGGGCTTGCTTCCAACGTGATTTCAGAGGCCTTACAAGCTTGATATACATTGAATGAGTTTCCCTTTCTTATCTCTCTCCCTCTTTATGTGAAATTTATGACTTTTGAGGCAATGAGAGCTTTGACCTCAATTTCCTTAAGTTTAGACCGAATTCATTAACTTATCTAAAATTTTGAAAAATTAAATCAAATTTTTAACATTATATTTATGAGTTTTATGGTGATTTAAAATTTTTGTTTTTTCATTTCCTTTTGGTGGGCCATTGACATTGACATTTTTCATGTGTAACGTACCACAATATGGCGGGAAACACGATGTGACATGGTGTCATGGACAATCGAACATGATCCACGCGTGGATTTAACCGCGCCTCACTCAACGTGTCCACTTATTCATAGTTCCTACTTTAATTTAATTTTTGTTTAATTTATTTTTTGTAAAATTTAATTTAATTTACTTGACTTCTTCTACTTTTTTTTTAATATAGCTGAATTCAAAAGATTAACTAGTTATTTGGTTATTATATTTATTTTAATTTTATAATTGTAACTCAATTCATAAAATTTAATTACTCTAGCTCAATCTTTCAAGTTTCAATCATTTAATTTGTTGATTCCTACCTTTCAGGGGGAAAAAACATCATCCAATTAATTAGTCATTTAATTGTAACCTAGTAATAAATATAGGAATTAGGGATCAATAGATTAAATAGATAAAAAAAATAAAATAAATACTTTGCACTTTGATTGCATTTTGCTTTCAGTTCTTATAATTTTATTTTATTGTTTTTGCTCCCTCTTATTTTATTTGTCCGCAACGTTAGTGCATATAAAAAAAAAAACCATAAGTTGTTATCAATGAAGTTAATTTTATTGACATGTATTTAACTTTATTAACCTCTTTGCTGATGTGTAATTGATTTTACTTTTTTTTTCACATTCTATTTAAAACAAATATTAAATTGACTTTTAAATTTTAATCGTACACGGTCAATTCATTATCATGCCATTATCATACTTTTACATTAGTAAATGGGTTAGTAGAATTGTAATAAAATTACCTCTATCAGTGCCAATTCATAGTTTTTATATACATTTTTAAAACATTTTTTTGGCCGACGTACAATTTTAAAGCTAAAAGAATAAATGTTACAGGTTAATCAAACTAATGTAATTGTTAAAGTGAATAAAATTATAAGGATTAAAAACAAAACACAGCCGAATTGCACCAAATTAAATTATAGTTACCGGGATTCAATTGTAACTTAATTAATCAAAATTACGAAAAAAAATGATAAATTCTTCCCCCAACATATTTTAGAAATTAGATTAAAGAATGAAAATATGGAGAATTTTTTTTTTTTTGTTTCCAAATATACAATTATCACCGTTCAGAGGCTAACAAAGTCAAGGAAGTTACGCAGAGGACACGCCTCTCGCAACGGCTTCAATGCCCGCACAAGCCGTTCAACCTTCAACCACTTCCTTCTTTAACTTCTCCCTCTTCTTCTTCTTTAAATCCTCCACTACAGATCGGCGCTTCGAAATCTTCCCGGCGACCAGACCAATTGAGCCACCTCAACCTCATTCCTCCATTATCTTCTTCGTCAGCTCAGGCATATATATATATATATGTATGGCCGCCGCGGATGGGTTTTTCAGGGGTGTGTACGAAGGATGTATTTCCGGGCACGATAACGACGTGCAACGGCGGCCGTACCACCGGAACTGTGGCTGCGCAATACACGATAAGTCATCGTCGCCGAAAGCGAGGTGTAGCCACAGGGGAAAGAGTAACAATGTGTCGTATCCTTTAAGGAGGGCTTGGAGTGAGAGCTGCTTGGCCATGGCTGCTTCTGCTTCTTCTGCTTCTGCTCATTCGTCTCCTTCTCCTTCTTCTTCTCCTGTTGCCGCTGCTACCACTCTCGGAAAGTGTAGTCGGCCTCTTCATCATCATCAAATGGGATTGACTGATCTCCAAGAGGAAGATTAATTCATTGAAGTGATATTACTTTACATGATGTTATTGAAGGTTTGAAGAAAAACGATATATATATATATATATATATATAATATTACTTTTTTGATATATAGAACATACGAGTCTCTGATTCCTTCTTCGTCGTCTTCTTCTTTACTTACATTGACGTCTGATTTTGTTATTGTTCCATTTTTTAATAATATATAAAAAGGTTGAAATTTAGAGATGCTAAATGGAAAATTTTATCTGTTGCATTTTGCTGTTAATTTTTATTTTCTAGTTCCTATAAGTGTGTTGTAATCCATTTAGCATCTCTAATAATATACATGAACTAGAACTCTGATGTTGAAAATAACATTATTATTGTTCCATTTGTTACTTTTATTTTTATTTGTTTTCAACATCAAAACAGGGAGTTCTAGTTCATATCACCTTCTGATGTTGAAACAATATGTTACCAATGTTATCACCAGAAAAGTTGCCGATCGCCAACCAAAAGTAGACTTTTGAAAGTAATAGTAAATAGTTTGGAGAAACATAATTTTGAATCCATGAATTTTACTCATGGATTCCTACACTTTTTTCAATATTTTAATTTTTTACATTTTTATCTTTCATTATTTTAGATATCTCTATAAACAAAGTGTAATTAAGGATTGTGGAAGGGCATAAAATAATAAAAAATAAAAGTGTAGAGATATAAAGTATTAAAAAAAAATGTAAGAATCAATAACAAAGCTCAAATGTAGGAACATAAAGTTATGTTTTATCAAATAATTTTCACAAAAAGTTCTAATTTTTTAGCAGTGTAATTAAAATGCCCTTAAAAGTTTTTTTTTTTAAAAAAAATGGTTATGTATTAAGAAAAGTAAAAACTATCTTGATTGATTAGCTTACCAAGCAAAGATCTACTTCTTCCATCCTTATATGTACGAAATTCTTTATAATCTTTTCTATTCCTAAATATAAAAAATTGTTAGTATACTTTTTAATGAATGGACCATTATACCCTTAATAAATTGAAAAGAGAAAATGATAAGTACTCTTATTAATTTACTTTAACAAAAAGAGATTTATTTTAAATTTATAATAATTAGGATAAAATTAAAATGTTACTTGTATTTTTAATTAGATGACTAATTTTTATTAATTTACATGATTTGATTAAAAATATATTTTATATAGGGGCAGAGGGAGTATCTTTTACTGATGGACTTATTCATGCACTATTTCATTATGACATTTAGTTTTTTGTTTTTATTCATGCACGTTTTCATGGTGACTTTGTATTCTCAGGGGGAAAAAAAGGTTTTTTAGGAAAAATTAAAATTAATATAATTCTAAAGACTGAAGTATGTCTTTGATACTCTAACTTGATATAAGCTTTTATTTTAATTCTTTAATTTTATTATACAAAACTCCAAGGTTCTTTTGCTCCTCTTTATCTGATCTCTTTCAATTGTCACAAAAATCATTGTTACCGTACCCCCTTTGTTTTTATATATAAATTTTTTTAAAATTTTTTATTTTTAAATATAAGAGGTTGTTAAAATATTTTTTAACAAATTTATACCTTTATTAAATTGAAAGAAAAAAATAAATACTTTCATTAATCTACTTTAAAAAATTATTTTTATTTATAACAATTAAGAAAAAATAAAATATTACTATACTTTTAATTAAATAATTAATTTTTATTAACTTGTGTGATTCAATTAAAAATATTTTATATATAAAGTTGGAGGGTCTCACATTAAGAGCACACAATCAAGTAGAGAGGTCAAAGAATATTACAGAACAAAATGATCAGAGAAGGTGGTATGGATATTAGCGTAATTAAAAGTGCCCTTGAAAGGTTTTTTTTTTTTTTTTTATTTTTGAAAATTGATCATGTCTTAAAGGAAAGTGAAAACCATGTTTATTGATTAGCCCACTAAGCTAATCAAGACAAATTTGACCCTATTATCTATGATGATCCAATGTGAAGATGCAAAGAAACCTGTCACTAGCTGACTAAACATAATTTTTTTGGTTTTATAATATTCATGCACGTTATTTCATCTGTGAAATTTGTATTCCAAATTTTCTTTGAGAAAAAGTAAAATTAATATAATTCTAAAAAGTTAAAGAATGTATTTAGACATTTAATTTTATATAAGGTTTCAGTTTTGTTTTTTAATTTTATAAAGTATTTTTTCAATCTTTTAACTCTAAAATTAGTTTCATCACACACACAAAAATTCTACTTTGATATTTTAAAAATTGACATAATATTTTTAAATGTTGATATATTAAGTTTAAGTAAAATAATATTTATTGGCTCAAAAAATAATTATTTGAAATTAATAACATTAGGGTTGGACTGAAAAATACTTTATAAAATTAAAGGACCTAATTAAAATCTTATACTATAAAGTTTGAGGATTAAAAGTACACTTTGGTTAATTCTAAATTATATTAAATAATTTTATAAAACTATCATTAAATGATTAAAAATAAATGAAAATCGACCAAAGTAAATAAACAAAATTTAACCTAACTTTCTTAGTAATTATTAATATAATCCTTATTCATTATATGATGTGGCGCTTGCATGGATGTAAAATCTGATGATGGTTTGGCCAAAAAAATAAAAAAATAAAATAAAATCTGATGATGGTTTAATGGTGGAAAAACCAAGGACAAAGTTTGGGTTAATAGTTCAAGGATTGGATTATATAAAAATATAGTTGAGCATTGAGTTTTAAGTACTTGAAACTTGCATGATCTAAAGATTAATTTTTCTTAGTGCTTGTTTGTTTTTTATTGACCAAAAATTAATTTATCAAAAGTTCATTCAATAAAAATCAATTGAATAAAAGTTAATTATGATAATAAAAATTTATATTTAGATAATTTTTTTTTAAATTAGATCGACTTTTAGCCCTCTCATTAAAATCCAAACTCCAAATGTGTTTTTTTTTTTCCTTTTTTTTTGGTGTTCAAATGTAGTTTTCAAAAACTACTACAGGTTACATTCAGTAAATTCACTTTTCCTATGTTTCGAAATACACTTTCAGAATGTAAATTTAGTATTAAAAATGAAAATCAAATAACTTTTAACTTTTAAAAAATTTTAAAATGATTTTTTAAAAAAGTTAAAAGTTAATTGCCCAAACAGGCTCTGGATATAAACTCATTCAAAAGATATATTAAAAAAAGAAAAAAATTATATATTTAGCTCTACAGACTTAAAGTGCTTATTTCTAATTAAATTAAAATATGTAAATTTTTTATAAATTATTTATTCCATAGCAAATTCTTATGATTAATATTATAATCACATTAGAATTCATTTTTTTATTTGATTAGATGAAAATATATCAAATATATTAGGCTAAGTATATAAACCTTATCCCATATATTGAAAAACAAACTTTTTTTGGTATATAGAACACAAGAAATGAATAAATGATAATGAAAGAAAATAAACTCATTCAAAAGGTATTTGTTAACGTGGTGAGGACCATGAACAATACTGTTGAATGTCATAGGTCTCCATATTCATCATCATTAATTAGCAGCTCTTCAGTCTTCATCACTGCTCGCAAGGTTCTTGACACCATTCCTTCAATGCCAGTCTTCTTCTCACTCTTCATCATCACAAGTTTACGACTCTCCTTCATCAGTGTGCCATTGCAGATTTAAATATGACATTTAATTATGTGATTGTGCTTGAGAATAAGAAGGATGGGTATTATGATGTTAGCTAAAATATACAAAACTTTCCTGAATTCATGTAGCATCTAATGTAAGTTAATAATAACAAAAAAAATGGATAACTTTTTTTATAAAATTATTATTAGCTTATATTGAATGTCATATAAAGTACTATGTACCTTTTCTTAATATGATACAACAACTACTAGTAATATAATTAAAAAAAATTAACAATAGAAGTTGGTGGTAAAAATAAAAAATAAAAAAAATTAAAGAAGTTAATCTTAAAATTTTGAAGGTGAGAAAATTTTTGTGTAATTGTCTCAAAATTTAAGAGAATTTTATATATTTTAACCTACGATATTTTGTTATGATAACTATAGATATAAAATAAAAATGATATCATAATTTCATTTACATATCAAACATATTTTTAAGAAAGGATGACAATAAAATCTCAAAAAAAAGAACTAATTATATTTAAGTTGTCAATGATTTTTTTTTAAAAAAATTGAGTTACAAATACTGATTAAGTTAGTTGTTGTAAACAAGAATCTCAATTGTACACTAAGAACTACATTTAAAATTTAAATATTTTATCTGCAATTGAATTTTTTGAATTTATAATTATTTAAAACAATATTTATAACATATTTTTCAAAAAAATTTATTGATAACGTAACAGCTATCATCGTAACTGCTATTTTCCCTATTTTTAAACTTATTCTAATCTATTTTCTCATTCTCATTCTGCTACCAGACATGGCCAGTGGGGCTCCTTGCCAAAATGATGACACAGAGAGCAGCAGCAGCAGCAGCAAGGGAGGGCTGGTGGACACGTCCTTTGGAGCAGCAAGCTCTATAAACACGGCTCTGTCCAAAGGCCAAAACTAAGAATCCCACAGTTTTAAGATGTAAATTTGAAATACAGCAAGTCATAGAGACTCTTGTTCCTTAGACATATAGTTTTAGGTTCAAATCTCAACCTTTGTATATATAACAATATAGTTTAAAAGAATTTATTTTTTGCTCTCAGTATCACAAAAGAAAAAAAAAAAGTGTTATTGGTAGAGTCTACTCGTTGTACTTAAAAGAAAGGAGATGTGAATTTGAGTGTATAACTCAGACTCGTGTTTCTATTACAGCAATAACAAACCTATGGGTTCTTCGGTAAAAACATTATTTGTCTTCTACTTCGTCTCGATTTCTCTACACCCAAAGTCTGTTATTTGTCTTCAACCGTGTCTCGTTTTCTGTTAACCTAAAATATCTATCCATTTTAACTATGGATCCCAACACCACACACACACACACACACACACACACACACACACACACACACACACACTAGCTCGCAGAAACTGAAAATAAAACAGAATGCCTGCGTATATAATCTATAGAAAATCATACTATTCATAAGTCATACTCAAACTAAATATGACTTAAGGCAATTGTAATGCATGGGATCCACATCTAATCAAGCACATCAAATGTCAGATGATAAATCAAGGGCATCAAACGCTATATCCCATATAATCCAATCATCAATATCAATCACATAAATCTACAAAAAATTGTTAAAAATTATATTGATGATTAGTTATCAACAGTAAAATTTAGTTTTCATGTAACGTGCAAACAGAGGGCCACTCTAAGTTTTTTTATTAGAAAGAATTACAACCAAATCTTATACAAGAAAATTAATTACCGTAAGGTTTATTGACAACTGAACTAAACTGCAATAACAATTGATTGTGTTGTTAATGCAGTTTAGTTTAATTGTTAATAAACTTTGCACTTCAATGTAATTCTTCCTTTTTATTAACTCATTGTGGTTCTCTTGGTAAGAATAGTGACAAAATGATGACGCATATATATATATATATATATATAAGCAAAAAGGGTCTGGGCTTCTGGACACGTCCTTCGGAGCAAGCCTACGCTATAAACACGTCTAAAATCAAACAGCCCACCGTTTAAGAAATGAATTTGAGTGTATAACTCATCCTCTTCTTTCTCCTATTACAACAACATACCCACAGCTTCTTTGGTAAAATCGCTATTTGTCTTCAGATTTGTGTCGATTTCTCTAGACCCAAAATATCAATCGAGTCCAACTATGAACCCCACTACTATTTCTCTCTATATAAACACTCGGACACTAGACCAGACAAATAGCTCAGTAACACTCAAACACTCAACTACCCAATTCTTTTTTGCATACCTTCCTTCAGAGACTCTGCAAGGTAAAACAGAGAATAGAATGGGGATTGAATCAGTCGAAATGATGATGCTTCGTTGTGTCTTTGATGGAAGCCTATCGACGCAGAACATGGAGATTGAGAGGAGACCATACCATAAGAATTGCAGCTGTGCGTTGCACAAGTCAAAGAGTGATTCCTCTGCAACTCCTTGCCAACAAAGGATGGTCAGCTTCACCAAGAGAACCTCTGGAAACCACTGTTGCCTCTCTATGAAAGCTTCAAAATCTTCTACCCTGTGACACTGTTCTCGGTCAACATCAGTCCCGTGAGGTAGAAGAAGATGAAAACAGAGTTCTGCCATATGATAATGTATATCACCAGCTCCTGTTCTTTTCTTTTTGTCTCCTTTGTATTTACATGCCAATAAGTTATAAAGAGGAACAATGAAGCTCCTAGAATTAGATTATCATGCTTCAAGAGTACGTTCGGAAGTATAATTTAGAAGAGAAGGGCAAGTTTAATATAGATATAAATAATAGAAAAGGCAGCAATTAAAAAAAAAAAAAAGAAAAGGAATCTAAATGACACAAACCTTCCCTTCCCTTCACTCTCCTCAATCGGAACATAATTTACGGAACATCATTAATGAAAGAGATAGATACTCAAACCTGGTTATGCTTGTATAGGATTCTTCTTTAAAGGGGCACAACCCTCTTCAGAACATGTCTAATAAATCATTAAACATTACAAAATTTCAAATAATTTTTACGAGTAAATAGACATATATCTGCATAACATTCCTACCAGCTCTTCACAACAAGAATATTTGGTACTCATGTTGTTCAACTTTACAACAATGCACTAAGGTACCTTTCAATTCATTCATTTAGTTTCATTCAATTGATTCCTGATTAGCATCTTCTTTGGACCCTCTTTTTCCACTCAGAATACTCAAAGTAAGATTACAAATTGACAAGTTATATGGATTCCTCCAGGGTAACTTATACAAGAAAAGAACATTCAAGGCAGAGAAGGAGAAAGGGAAGGCTTTGCAACTTGTAGTTCCCCACAATCACTAATATAAACAGTTTTAAGGGGCCTGTTCCAACTGGCACGAGCATTCTGGGCCCTTTCATCTCCAAAAAACCCAGCCAAGTCATTGAATTGGCGAATACGTTCAGATGGTTGGTATGTGGGAATTGCAGCTATGGCAGTGATGACGTCCAAACCTGCAGCCACATGCAACTAGCAGGTAAGCAAGATGACCATCAAAATGGGAAGTTCTAATTTGGCCCTTCTAAAAATCAAGTATTTTGACATTTAAATAATATTTGTAGTGTTCCGAGAAGATTAAAAATTGATTGTCAGATAAAATTAGGATTGTACTCCACCTGGTGATAATTTCTTTGAAAGCCGTGAGATGGAGAGAATGAACCTCCAAAATTACTATGTTCAACAGAAAGTCCTCAGCATGATAATGATGCAAACAACGATTGAGTGAGCGTGGTCTTAAAAAATTCAGTCTACAAATTAATTTAAGCATTTAAAGACCAACCAACTCATCATTGTGCTTAACATTTGGAAATGCAGACTAGGCAGCTGCTTCTTATCTTGAACATTGTGAATAAAATTCCAGTGGTTTGGATGATTTTGAAGAAAAATTCAGAACGTTGACGAGAATTTAAGTCCACGAAACGAAATTACCTTCAAGCACTGTTCCAAAAACAATGTTTTTGCTATCGAGCTGGGGACAAGGTCCTGGTCCAGTCGTGATCAAGAACTCAACGTTTCGGTAATTCGGATCAAGCTTAACCTCATCCTCGTCGTCGTTTTCCGACAGAGGAAGCGAAAGAACACCAGCCTTCGAATGTGCCAGAGAAAACGCCTTGGATTCGACAGTTTCAGTATTGCGCGCCAACTCCACAGGCGGCTGGACCTCGCCTTTTTCTCGCCGTCCCTGGCGGCCGGCGAGGAAGTACTGGCCAGGAAAAATCTTGTGAACAAGGGTGTTCTTGTAGGAAGAACCAGAAGATCCAACGCACATGGACTTGAAGTTAGAAACCGTGACGGGGACGAGATGGCCGTAAAGGCCGACTACAATGCGACCTAAAGGGATGGATTCGGAGCAGAGCGAAGATATGTTATCGCCGAGGGTTCGGGTGGGGAGGAAGTAATTGGGGCAGAGGCTGAAGTCCATGAATACACGGTCGGTGACTGTGGTGTCCGGCGGTGGCTTGGCGGTGTCGGCGGCGGCGAAGGAGGGGAATAGAGGAGCAGAGGGAATGGAGAGGGAGGTGGAAAGGAGGAGAAGGGAGCGGCGATTGAACAGGATTTTGGAATTGGGCTTAGGGTAGGATGGTTGGGAGGTGCGGAGGGAAGGGTGGTGGTGGTTGTGGTGGCGGAGAGGGGAGAGGAGAGACGGAGGAGTTACAGAGAAGCCCATGAAGGTGAAGGAAACACGTCCATACGTGGAGAAGCAACGGTTCAGAGAAGAGTAGGCTGAGATTGAAAAAACTGTAAGGCAGAGTGGGGTCTACACTTCCACAGAACCTGCAATTTCTTCTTCTTCTTTTTTAACCTTTTGTTTTTGTTTTTGAAACAAGACAAAATAAACTGAAACATACAAATAACAAATAAAATTTAAAAAAAAATCTGATAATTCTTTTTAAGCCTTTTAAATTTGTTTTTGACATTAATTTAATATATTTTGTAAAATGACTATAATGCTTTCATTTTAAAATAAAAAAGAAATAGATCAATGAATAAAAATTTTGCAAAGCATAAATTATTATCACTTGTTATCTTATTTTAATCATTATCAGAAGAAAATAGTCATTATTCAACAAAAGTACTCACTTATATTTATAACATTTTGATTTCAATAATTAAAAAAATTGTAAAAAGAAAATAATAATTACTTATTTTGTTTTAGCTATTGACAAAAGAAAAGTAATAATTACTTAAATTAAAATGGACATTAATATTTATAACATTTAGATTTCATTGATTAAATAATTATGCAAAGTGAAACTTTTCATTTGCTATCCAATTTTAGTAATTATCAAAATAAAAATAGTTGTTATTAGAATTAAAATAATTGCTAATATTTTAAATTGAGGTCATTATAATTATTTCATAAAAGATATTAATATGAGAAAAGTTTCAAGAGATTTGAAAAGAATTATCACATTTTCTAAGATCTCATTGTTATTTGTATATTTCAGGAGATTCTTCTGTTATTTTTAAGAAACAAAGCAATTATAATATATTATAAAGGTTTCAAATAATACAATAAAATGTGTGGCAAGTTGAAAGCATCAAAATCCATCCAAAAACAAAAACGCTAAATTAGAAAAGATCTTCTTGCGTAACTCGGATATCAACCTTTGGAAATTGGCCAGCAAAGATGTGAGATCCATGGAGTCATGGACACTGTATCAACGTACAAATCGCTTCTTGAGAATATCTGTGTTAGTGAATTTTTTTCCTCAAAAAAAGATCATTAAATGGGAGAATTACAATTAGATCTCACACAAAAAAATTAATTATTATAAAGTTTATTGATAACTGAACTAAATTGTATTGATAATTGATTGTGTTGTCAATGCAATTTAGTTCAGTTGTTAATAAATCTTGTAGTAATTAATTTTTTTGTGTAAGACTTTAATATAATTGTCCCTCATTAAATTTGCAATAGGAACCCATATAATGCCTACAAAAAGATTGTGTCCACCAAAGTGACAATTGCAGACAGAGAAAAAAGGAGGAGGATGAGTTAGCAATAACTTTTTTGAATGCAAGACCATTCGAAGCCTGATGGCTACACCAAATATCCAACAAACACAGCCTGTTCACCATGCTTGATTTTCTTAAACCAGATTGACCATTCCACATGACCATTGGGAGTAACAAATTTGGTTTCAACAAGAAACTGAGAAGCCGAAAAAGAAGCTCATGACCAATCACAAATGTAATCATATAAGAAACGTAGGCTAAGAAAATCTTTCTGAAACTCAATGGTATTTATTTTATCACCATGATAAATTGCAAGATTCCTAAAGAACTATACAAGGAAAATAAAAATGATCTCTTAAGATTTCAGCTGTTGGTAAAGCATTATTGAGAAGTTTCCTGGCAAACAAAATACACTTTAAGAGGCAAACTCAATTCTAAAATGAATTTCAAAACTAATAATGCACAAGTGAAGGAGGGTCAGCTTGATGTATCATTAACAGTTCATACCCTCTCTTGGATGAATATTTCCATGTGATTGATCCACTCCAAATAGTTTTGTCCTCTTGAGAAGTAAGAAGAAGACGAGTATTGAAGATTAGAGTTTTTTTCCCGAAATGCTGACAGCTTCATTTTTTTTAAAAAAAAATCACAACTAGAGGTAAGAACCAGCATATTGAAAACAGGTGCGAGGATAATTAACCAACGTCCATAGGCCTGTAACTATGATCATCGCCCTTGACAGTTAAACACTATGGATGTGGTTCCATAATTATGTTTTGTTGTTGATATGAAAAGATTGCATGTCATGCCAGCCAATCCACGCAAGTATTTTCTTTACTAAGCACGTGATCGCAAGTCACCTCTGGATATTACATAATCATTTTCCTAATATCTTCTGCAACTACAAAAGTCAGGTGTAACCTGCCTTGAATTTTTTTTGGATATTTTAGATGGCTTTCAAAGACTCAACAAATAAATTAACTTTTCTGAAGCCAAGGTTTCAGTAGAGATTTAGCGAAGTGTTAAATCTCTAGTGAATTGCCCTAACTTTGTGATAAACCCGCCTCTCTAGTTACCATCTTCATCTTAATTCTCAAATAAGTCTGCAGCAGGAAGCTTCCCCCCAAATGATTGACAACGCCGTTGACATCAAATCTAACCCAACCTGAATCTAGCAATCTCCATCTCATTTTATCTCCGGCTCTATCTAGCTAAAGTCCTTTTTTGACACCTTCAAGTCTCGCATCTTCGCTGAAGCTGCAATTTTAATTGTAGCCTGTAGGAAACTCGTGACTTTGCTGGTCAACATCACACACACACATACGAACTTCAGATTTTTTTTTTATTTACAAAAATTTGTGACATCAGATGAATTTTGGTTTTTTTTGGAGGGGGGGGGGGAGGGGGGGGGAGTGCGCCTTTTAATTAATGTCTCGGATATTTTCCCAGTGGAAGTTTTGAATATTTTTCAAGATTTAAATTTTTGTTGGATTAAGAATTGGTTAACATCCATTGTGATTCCACTAAGTATGCTTGGATGGCACTTTTCAAACTTTAAATGTACTTCTGAGGGGTTTTGGAGGCAAAATATGTGAGAAGCGAAGAAATTGTACCCGAGGCATCTATGAAGCAAATTATAAATGCTTGTTTGCAGTAAGTTTGCAAGAGCTCTGGTATGAAAGTGAATGCCCATGCAAACTCCATTACTTCCAACTACTGTTTGTGATACATAGACTGAAATAATCGCACCTTCAGTTATCTGGGGTAGTACAGAGAATATAAAGAAAATGCATTTAGTTGCTTGGAGTGAAGTCTGCAAAAGCAACCAAAAAAAAAAAAAAAAGGACTTGGAATTAAATTTGACAGAACACAGAACTAATTAAGCATATTTGATGAAAATGGGTAGGAAGCTCATCAAGAGAAGAGATGATTTGTGGGTGCAAGTGATTCAGAAGAAATATAAATGTGGTAGTGATCTTCTTCCTACCATTTAACAGAAATGTAATGGCCGTAACGTATGGTCAGGGATCAAAGCATAACGCGTTCACAGTACGCTCTACAACAGAGTGATGATGGGGTGCAATATTTTGGGAGAAAATCTACGAGTCAAAGGTGCCTCATCGGTGCAAAACGTTTTCATGGCAGGTGCACCACAATAGATTGCTCACGAATGCCTTGAGTGTTGAACTGTGGGCACTATTGATAGGCTTGAAATTGGCTTGGGACATGAGCGTAAAGGTTCATGATGAAGACATCAAACTGCACCAGGGTCCAGGGTAAAGATTGAGGAAACCTGTACAATGCTTCTTAGAGCATGCATGGGCGATCCAACTTTCCCATGTTCTTCGTATAGTGAATAAAGTAGTGTTTAAATTGAGAGCAATGTAAGTTCTAAAAGTACAGTGCTACTGTCAAGACTGAGAGCAATGTAAGTTATAAACAAAGTATTATACACCCCATGCGTCAAAACTCGCCCTACGAACAATGAGTGAATCTAAATAAAAAGAGGGGAACTGTATGCAGTCAACCCATGAGATGTTTTCAGGGAGATAATTAACCTGCATAAAGCGTCTACTTGAGGCTGAAGTTATGTTGAAGTGAAAATTTGAAGTTCTACTCACTGAGGTCCAGACCTTTGCTTGGTATTGGAAGTCAGTGCCTTGATGCAGAGTCGAGGTTTTGTGCTAACGAGATTAATGGGAAGAACGGAGACAGCAACAATTATTGATCCAATAGGTAATCCTGAGAGAGGTAGCCATTCAACTAGAATGGAGAGCTGCAATAACAGTTTTCATGTTTAGATAACCTGAATTAGTCAGAGGATTTGAATTCAATAATGCTATGTTTCAATATAAATGGATTTAGATTTGGACCAAATCCCCTATTTGGACACTTAAAAATTTATGGAATTATCCAAATCCAAATCCAAACTTTATCTTAATTCCTTCATAATTTGAAATTTTTTCTAAACCCTTGTTATTTCAAATCTTCATATGCACCCCTAATAGTAATAACCTTTGTTATTTAAACTATCCAAATAAAGAATTTGAAATGTGAAATTTTAAATCCAAATACTACCAAAGAGACATATAAAGTAAAAGGCAATAAAAGCCCATCCCAACCATTCATTTAGCAACACAGGACAACCAATCAACTTGGATGAAAAAGGCACAATCTTGTGAGTTATGAACAGATGGCTAGGATGAACCCTTGCTGCCTCTTACTAAATCCGCCACTTTCTAAATCAAAATCCATGATTGGGACTGCTGTGTGCTGATGATCACTATAAACATTTGAGCCACTGATTTGTGTTTTACCTCTGGACACTTGAGGTCCACTATTGAATCTTCTACAACATTTCTGACAGCAGAAGCAACTATGCCGAAACATTTATTACGGTCCAACAAACTATATTCACTGGAATTATCTGCATTTTCTTTTGGAAACTTTGTCTCTTCAATTCCTCTTCGGTTGTACCCAACTGCAAACTAAAGGATGAAATAAGATTTTCTCCATAAGAAAAATTAACAAGCATCAAATATGTGACATCTTTCAGAATGAGAATCAACTTCTAGATAGACATTAAAATAATTCCAGTTCATATTTTGTTTGGCACTATATCAGTCAGAATATTGAAACTTCAGAAAAAAAGTCACTGACAGATGAACATTCAGTGAACATTTCAGGAAACAGCATTTTCAAAATTAAATTTAATTCAACGTTGGGCTAAGCCGAGAGATAGAGTGATAATTGAGAAAAATCATCATAATTATTAATTGTTTTCCATTCATATTAAAACCAGAATCATATAGACAGGAGATGATGAAATTTGTCAGTTTAACATTTGAGAGGCCAAAATTAGTTTTGCAAGGACACAAATATGGCAGGTTAACCATGATTCAGGAAAATTGTACCTTTAGAGGTAGTCCAAGATGGTTTTGTTTATTGGCCACAAATTTTTTAACTAGTGTTGATACAACTTCTTGCAGTTCCTTTTCATTCAAACGACAGGTAGCTTGAATTGGAAACATACGATGGCACCAGCTGCAGCAAAAGAGGATGTCCTCTATCAAAGCCAAAAGGAAATGTACAAACATAACTAACTGAAGGGCATTTCCTTGTATATTGCAGAAATTTCATTTCTGAACATTTTCACTAACACATTACAGTTAAAATTTCTGACCATAGGATAAAAGCTACTTTTATGCTGGCATTTTTCTGTTTGGACCTGGCTATGTTCACTTAGACATAAAACATCAGAAACCCACCCCCCTCCCAAAAAAAAAAAAAAAAACAAAAGAAAAGAAAAGAAAAGGGCCAAAACCCTTAAGAAACTAGAACCCCGGGGGGGGGGGCGCTTTTCAAAAGGCCAGTCCTCTCCAAATTCCTGTCTTGCAAGATGATCCCCTCTACTTTAGTTTCGCTTGAGCTGAATTCTCCCAAAAATGAGCTTTGTTGCTCGCTATAGTATCACACACTTTCAATTGCCTTTGGCTAAAAATGGATGTTTATGTGTGGAGATATTGTATTTATTGTAAATATTATTATCTAATTATTAGGAGTTAATAGGATTTATTAGAATTATTAGTATTTATTAGCCATTTATTTTCTTGTCTCTTAGCTTTGTGTATATATAGTCTTCACTATTATGATCAATGGAAAATCATATTTATCCTCTCAAAAATCTCATATGGTATCAGAGCTCATTAGATCAGAACCCTAGCTAGTTTTTGTTCTGTCGTATAGCATAGTTTCAGACTAACAACTGACAGACAAAACCCTAATGGAGGATGAGAGGCGCCGTTGGATCTCACCGCCAACCAAGGAAGGACCAGAGACCTCTGATCAGTGCAACCTCGAAGTTTGGTGTCCGTCAACGACGCATGGCTGTCACACGTGCCACTCATCTAGTTTGCGTCAAAGGGAGAGTCTGAGTGCATGGCGGCGCGTGGCGAGCTGTTTCCAGCAACGACGACTTGTTCGGCAACGATAGACCATTTCCAACCTAGTCTCAGCATTTTCTTGTTATGGGTCTTCCAAGCCTTCACCTTGTTCGTTGAATGTGCATACTGTTAGAACAAATTGGACCTAAACAACACAAATACCTAGAAATTTCTAAGGAAAATAGGGCTTCTAATTCTAGAAGTGGTATGTCTTGGTCTTCTTGATCTGATTTGTACCCCTTTGCTCATAAGCTTTCAACAATGGATGATGAAACTTGCAAAACTGTCATCAAAAGTTGTTGAATCGAATGCACTATGTGTTAGTCAGATTTCACAGTCAGTCTTTGTCTTCTTGGCACAAAGAAGTAATTTTCTTCAAGCCTTAAAAGTGTCAAGGGCTCAAACAATGTGGATCATAGACTCTGGAGCATCGAATCACATGACCCATAACCACCAATTATTTTCTACATATACTCCATGTGCTGGAAATTTGAAAGTCAAAATTGCAGATGGGTCTCTTGCTCCTATTGCGGGGAAAGGGAGTATTCGTATCTCTGAATCTATCACTCTAGAATCTGTTCTTCATGTACCAAAATTAGCATGCAATTTGCTGTCTGTTAGCCAACTAACAAAGCAATCTAAATATTGTGCTAATTCTGTTCCAACCCATTATGTCTTTTAGGATCTATCATTGGGTATGACAATTGGAAGTGCTAAAGAGTGAGAGGGACTCTACTTCCTTGAGAATGCTAGAGTGAGTCGCCATCAAGCCACTAATGTATGTAACTCTATATCGACCTCTAAAGATACAAATATTCTGTTGTGGCACAATAGGATGGGGCATCCTAATTTTAATTATTTATCTCATTTGTTCCCAAACCTTTGCCCTACCAACCATGATGTCAAATGTGAAGTGTGTGAACTAGCAAAGCACCAACTAACATCATTTCCTAGAACACCATATACACCCACCAAACCATTTGTTACCACACAGTGATCTGTGGTCCGTCTCGTATCCTAAACAGCATCAAATCAAAATGGTTCATTACCTTTATTGATGATCATACTCGTGTTTGCTGGGTGTATCTCCTAAAAGACAAATCTGAGACTGCATCCATATTTATCAATTTCTTTACCATGATAAAAACCCAATTCAACACAAATATCCAAGTTCTACATATCGACAATGGTATTGAATATTTTAACCAAGTCTTGAGTACCTTTCTTCACAAGCATGGCATTGTCCATCGAAGCACTTGTGCCCATACACCCCAACAAAACGGGATTGTAGAAAGGAAAAATAGACATATTCTTAAAGTGGTTAGGGCCCTCATGTTCACTTATAATGTCCCAAAGTTTTATTGGGGGGATGCCATCTTAACTGCAACCTACCTCAATTACCAGAACCATCACTCTCATCCGAACCCTTACCACCATCAACATCTCTTGTGCCAGTCATAGAAGATAATTCAATATCAAGGGGAGATATAAAGAGGCAAAAAGACAAAGACTTGTTGGTTTATTCTCAAAAGCATAAATCCAAGGAAGGAGAGCAACTTGTATTTGAATCACCAAAGGAGTCAAAACTAGTGGTAGCTCCTGAATCACCTCAGCAAAGTCCTAAACAGGTGAGTGTTCAATCTGATCTTGATTTACTCATTGCTCTCAGAAAACAACCTTGCTCTTGTACTTTGCACCCAATACAAAGCACATATCCTACAAGGCTCTTTCTCCAAGTTATTGTGCTTTTGTCACTAGTCTAGATCAAGTTGTTGTTCCCAACAATATTGAAGAGGCATTGGAAACACCAGAATGGAGAAATGCAGTCATGGAGGAAATGAGAGCCCTAAAGAAGAATGGAACATGGGAGATTGTTCAAAGGCCAAGTGGCAAGAAGTTTGTAAGCTGCAAGTGGATTTTCACCCCAAAGTACAAGACCGATGGAATTCTTGACAAGTTAAAAGCACGCTTGATAGCAAGAGGGTTTACTTAGACATATGGTGTCGACTACAAAGAGACTTTTGCACCAGTGGCAAAATTAAATACCATTAGAGTTCTCTTATCTATAGCAGCTAACCTAGAATGGCCACTCCATTGGCTTGACATCAAGAATGCTTTCCTAAATGGAGAACTAAAAGAAGAAGTTTACATGACTCTACCATCAAGATTTGATAGAGGCAGAGGTGATCAAGTATGCAGATTGAAGAAATCTTTATATGGCCTAAAGCAGTCTCCTAGGGCATGGTTTGATAGATTCTCAAAAGTCCTCAAGCGAGAAGGCTATAAGCAGGGATTGTCAGACCATACAATGTTTGTTAAAATTGAGGGAGGTAAAAGGTTTATCCTTATTGTATATGTTGATGACATTATTCTTACAGGAGATTATCTTGAGGAAATCACAAGAGTAAAGGTTGTTCTGGGCAAAGAATTCAAGGTAAAAGACCTTGGTGCCTTGAAATACTTCCTTGGGATGGAAGTTGCGAGGTCAAGGAAAGGTATTTATGTATCCCAGAGGAAGTATATACTTGATCTTTTGAAGGAAACAGGTATGTTAGGTTGTAGGCTAGCTGAAACCCCTATTGTGGTTTCGAAGAAAAAGAAGCCTAAGAAGAATAAGGAAAAGTTAAAAGAAGAAGATGATTCTTATGATGAGGTTGAAGAAGAAGACAATGAGAATGAAGAGGCCACTAATAAAGAGAAATATCAGAGACTTGTTGGGAAGTTGATTTACCTTTCCCATACAAGATCGGATATTGCCTTTGCAGTAAGTATGGCTAGCCAATACATGTCTAAACCGAAGAAGAAGCATATGAAAGCAGTCCATAGGATCTTGAGATATTTAAAGGGTACTGTTGGTAGAGGGTTATTCTTCCAAAAACAAGAACAAAGAACCATAGAGATCTACATAGATGCAGATTGGGGAGGAACTCATCCTGATAGAAGATCAACTTCTGGTTATTGTTCCTTTGTTTGGGGGAACTTGGTTACCTGGAAGAGTCAAAAGTAAAAGGTTGTTTCTAAGAGTAGTGCTGAGTCCGAGTTAAGAGCTTTGGCCCAAGGAATAATGGAAGAGTTATGGCTGAAACGAATCCTAGAAGAGATACATGTCAAAATGGACTCACCATTAAAACTTTATTGTGACAATAAGGCAGCTATAAGCATGGCCTTAAGTCCTGTTCAACATGAGAAATCAAAACATGTGGAGGTGAATAGACATTTCATCAGAGAAAAAGTAAAAGATGGAATCATATGTTTGATTTATTTACCTACAAACCTTCCAGCTGCAGATGTTTTAACGAAGGGATTACGTAAGCCCGCATTTGAAAGTTGCATAAGCAAGCTAGACATGATTAACATTTATGATCCAACTTGAGGGGAAGCGTGGAGATATTATATTTATTGTAAATATTATTATCTGATTATTAGGAGTTAATAGGATTTATTAGAATTATTAGTATTTATTAGCCATTTATTTGCTTATCTCCTGGCTTTTTGTATATATAGTCTTCTGTATCATACTATTATGATCAATGGAAAATCATATTTCTCCTCTCAAAAATCCCATATTATGACATCCCAAAATGGGATAGCCTTAGAGATTCTAAGAAGTGGAGGGAAGAGAATTGTTGACTAGAATAAGTACTTGAATGAAGCGAGCCAGGAATTCTTGGAACAAGGTTTTCAACAAAGGAACTCATCTCAGAAGTAGGAATCTCATGCTAGACACCTGCTTCTCTGCTGCCAATACTAAAGGATTTCCGCTACTGACTAAAGATGAGAATAACAATGACAACCACTAAAAAGGAAGGGAGGCCTTGGTTGTGATCACTGTCACCGTTTTGAAAATGCCCAAGAGAAAAGTTGGAAACTACATGGGACACCAATAATTGGAAGCCAACAAGAAATATTGAATCATGGTTGGATTTGATCTAAAGTGGAGACAAATAAACAGGCTGAAACATCAAACACAGGACAAGCACCCCAGGAGTTGCACACCTTTGTCCAAGGGCTTGCCTAAGTAATACCAGCTCAAAGGAACCCTGCCAAAATCACATTGAAATATTTCACCTATGTCTTGAATGTCATGCCTGGTCAACTAAGCTGGAACCAAACATGCCCTCAACAACACTGAGACATATGACAACAAACCCTTTTTCATCCACAAATAAATTGCAGACATTTAGGAAAAGGTACGCCAAGAAGTTGCAACCTAGCTACTGTCATTCACTTACAAGAACAACTAGCATACAAAAAAAGTTGATTCAACTGGAAAGGATCAGTCCCATAGCCACTAGGTTGTGAGTTCAAGTTCTGTAACTAATGTACAGACCTTGTTTGTAAATATCCCTACAAGCACTTTTTAAGCCATCAAGCATACCCTCCTTCAGTGAGCTACCAAGACCCAACTCATCAAACTTCTCCCTTACCAAAATAAAGAATTTAACAAATACAACTTAAATTGTTCACTTCACTTACTTTGGTGAACTTACACTACCAGACCCCAAAGATTGAATGATATTTGACACAATGTCAACAGTGTCAACCAAAGCATTCCTTGGGAAGGTAAAAAGAAGTAACCCACTCCTTGTCAGCTTAACTAATGAAAGATCAAAAGCTCCACTAGTGCTTGTCTCTGCTTGTGTAGGAGTTGAGTGAGTTTCGTCTGAAAGTTTACCTGTCATCACTTAGCTCAAGACTGTTCAATAAACCTAAAACTCAGTCATAACTCTTAACTCCAATAAGGGAATAAACGAAGGGGGAGAAAAAACAGTACCTTCCGCAGATTTAACAATGACAGAGTCAGTTGCTTCCAAGTCTAAACATTCTCTGCCAATATCTTCAGCGCACATCCTCCTTCTCTTCACAGTGCTATTTTTCTCATGGCTGTCCGAACCATTATAACCTCCATTTTTAAAGGGATCAACATACTGTAACAAAATTACATCCCAAAGTGTACGAGGAGAAAAATAAACAAGAAAAAAAAAATAAAGCTAAATCAATGTACTTGTAAATCATCTTCTGTTGTGTAAAGCATGAACATAGCCACAATGATATGAGAAGAGAACTTACACAGTGTGACAGTTGATAGCACTGTATAATCCGTTTACAATCACATAGGCCCAAATGTGGAAAAGTGGCTTTCTAAAAAATCATTTAAATATCATTAAAATTTGCTGGCATTAAAGTGGTTATTCCATCAAAAGTTAGTTTCAACTTCCCAGAATGAGAATAATAAATTACAAATTAATATTTTTACAGAACAATTACTCTCCAGAAAGGACTAATGACACCTTGAAGAGTGCTTAGTTTGTCATAACAAATGGTTATTCAAAGGCAAACTTAGAAAATAAATCGATAAAAAACTCCACATCCAGAAATTGTTTATTTTTTTCAGCATGAACATCTAGCAAATGCTTATCCACCTCAACTTCTGATTTAATTGCGAGTCATGTTTAGGCATGCCATCCCAAAACAACATGCGAAATTACTCTTCACTTTCAAGATCATCTTTTCAATCAAACTTTCCAACGCAGTTATGCATTTTACCATGTCAATGCTACAAACAGCTTTATGAAATACAAGAGCAAATTTATCCTATCCCTTAAACGGTTGGTTGAGTTGTAAATTAGAAGATGAATGTTAGAAGGAAAGGAACTAGATAATTAGGAAACTGTATGGTTGAAATTTTCTTAATCCTGACTATGCTAATAATCAACATATAGTTGGACATGAAAGACATCTAGTGATCAAAAGGCATTGTTCTCTAAATAGACAAATATCTGATGGGCCCACAAAACATATCAGAGCCCACAAAACATATCAGAGAAGAAAAGGTTGGTTGAGTTGTAAATCAGAAGATGAATGTTAGAAGGAAAGGAACTAGATAATTAGGAAACTGTATGGATGAATTTTTCTCAATCCTGAATATGCTAATAATCATCATATAGTTGGACATGAAAGACATCTTTTGATTATAAGGAATCGTTCTCTAAATAGACATACATCTGATGGGCCCACCAAACATATCAGAGAAGAAAAGGGCAACACATTTTAGCAAAGAGAAGGAGAAAAGGACAAGGGAATTATAAGTAATTCTGATGAGGGAATATGGGGCAATATAGGAAGGGGAGAGAAAAGTAGGAGGAAGGTGAGTTTAATAGTACTTTTGATCACTATCTCTGAGCTGTGACTGCTAATAGTAATTCCCTGAGCTTATTCCTCTCACCTTACACTGGACAGAAGATAATCTCAGTCTTTCAAACATTAATAATCCGAAATGCAGCTGAGTTCCATCAACATCTATCTCACCTATTTGCTTTTCTAAAGTATACAAATCAAGTCCAATGAATAAAGTAGAGCAGCAAGCCCAGGAAATCTTTTTTTCGTTTTACAGGTTGAATCTAGGTTTAGAATATTCATTACCATTAAGAAAAACTTTTCTTCAACTGTAAATGTTTTATAACGAAGTAAATTTGGAAACATGTTAAAAGGGTAATGAAGGATACCTTTCCAAGGATAGACAACACTTCCTTAGTAGCACTTTTCTCCCTCCCTGTAGAGAAAACAATATTGACCATTCAAACAACATAAGCATAAATAAAACCTAAATTCAAATCATATTTCAAAAGGAATCAAGTAAGAGTTATTTATTGTGCCATAGATTTCATTTCAATCACATTTCCCCATCCAAAGACTAGGTAAATGAGAACCAAGACAAGAATATTTTGCACGTTGCAAGTTTATTGAGATTAAATACCAATTATTAAAGTCATAGGGTATTTCCTAGTTCATAAATAAGATGACAATAACTAAATAGTCTGCAGTCCCTCTCATGGATATAGGATAAGCGTTTTTTAGCAGGAAATGCAGATTTGCACGGTGAAAATCACTATGCGAAAAGTAACCCAGAATTGAGAAACAAGTTGTTGATGTGTCTCTGCATGATAGCTGTATGGTGTTCGAAATTGAGCTGAGTAGAAGAAAGGGACAGATGGGGCAGTAACTGATAGTACAAGTGACAAGAAAGCCACAATGAGAATGCTGGAGAATTGAAGACGGAGCAGCATAGTCAAAGCGAGGGAGGCTTATCACAGCTGAGTGTTGCTCCCAAGGGGCCATGCTCTTATCAGCCTCAATTTTCTGTATCTGGTTCTCTTCGCATTCCTTAGTGACTGTTCCTCCCTCTTCTGCCATCCCAAACTATAGGAATGCAACAGGTTCACACATACTCTGTGCACTGCATTAGGGGAGACCAAGGTATTAAAAAACAGGACCAGTCATTAAACTGGTTAGGATATTGGATCAAAGCAAAATAGTTGAATCGTAGTTAAACCATCAACTTGGCTACTATTTAATTAACATATTTTAAATAATAGATTAAAAGGCAAAAATACCCATGAACTTCTCCTCCAGGACATCCAACATCATTAAGTGAATGAGGGTGCAAAAGTACCCCTAATGTTAATGGTGTGGGTACAAAAGTGCCAAAGCCATTAAGTTTGACTAATGTTTGTTAACATTGACAGTTAATAAAAATGAAGCACATATAAAGTGCAAAATATTCATAAACTTTTTATCTAGGTGCAAAAGTACCCAAATTATAAAATATTATTTATTTTATTTTTTCTTTGTTAGTCAATTTCAATTTTATCTAATTTTACTTTTATTTTATTAATAATAAAAAAGAATTTGAGTACTTGGGTTAAAGTCATTCTGGTTTGAGCTTGGCTTGGATTAATAGGCCAACCTTCCCTAATCCATTAAGTTCTATTCTTAGAACTTCATAGTCAACATCAAGTTATTTAAACAGATTGGGAAAGGTTAGATTTAATAATTTGAGTGAAGCCCGACATGCCAACCTAAATAAGCTTGAAAAATCTTAGTACTAGTTTGGAAGTTTAGAAAAATTTCTTTATTTGGTGCTTATTCAAGCTGCCCAAATAAATCCTAATAAATCTGAGCCAAGTCCAAATCTGAATAGGCTTAGTTTGAAGACTCAAATTTATTTTTTATAATTAATAAAATAAAGTTAAAATTGACTAGAAAAGACAATATAAAATAAAATAATATTTTATAATTTGGATATTTTTGCACCTAGATAAAAAGTTATGAGTATTTGTGCACCTCATATTTGCTTCTTTTTTTCTTAACGGTCAACGTTAACAAATATCAGTCAAACTTAATGGTTTGAGCACTTTTACACCCACATCATTAACGCTAGGGGTACTTTTGCACCTTTTTTCACTTAATGATACTAGGTGCTCCTGAAGAAAAAGTTCATGGGTATTTTTGCCCTTTTAACTTAAATAATTTATATAAAAATAGAAAAGATAATCATCTAATCATTAAAGTAACATTTAAATCCTAAAGAAAAGTAATATCCATCCAGAATAAACTAATAACAACATTATCATCTCATAGAAAAAGGATGAAAATCTGATATGTGCATCATTTGAAGCTTCAAAATGGTATTGCAATTGAAAGCAGGCATAGAACAAGCCACAAAAAAGAATAAGCAACACATAATCAGCTATGCTTTTTTCCCCTTGATATCTAGATAGGACAATCAGGACATCATGGTTGGCTATGTATCATCACTTTCAGTTTCTCAAGAAATTCCGCAGGCAAACTGATAACTGAAAGTTCAAATGCATCATTCTCCCTTCTTTCTAAACGGGAGAACAGCTAGGAATCATAACATCAAGGTTGAATATGGAACAGCCATAGTTATTTGTTATCAATTGAATCCTGATCAATAATAAATACAAGAAACAGAGTACCAGCAGCTCAAACTGCAAACACAAGAACGCTTAATTCAGTTCACAATAAATTTCAAACAGCGCACCAACTTTCTTTTTCACATGATGCAATGCAAATGGAGTTTGTTTGAATAAAACAGCGACGAAGGAACAGAGAAAGAGAAACCAACCTCCTAGAGAAGTTGTTACAGATGCAACCAGAGTTTGTATGACGCAATGCGCAAAGACTAACTGTTTCTATTTTGCACAAGACCCTGGAGAACTGTGAATGGAGAAGTGTGACAGAAGCAGGAGATGCCAATGTTGAAGGCAACAATGAGGAAGGAAAGAGAAGGCTAGAGACAGCAGTGATTGGAACTACAGTGCAAAGAGGTTCAGCGTGTTGATGGATTTCAAAGAGGAGACCAAAGATGCAGATGATTAAGGAACTATGATTAGTTCCACACATGGAAAAGGAAGGGCTGTAAGAAAGGTAAACTGAGATCTGGAACTAGAAGAAGCTAGAGAGGGGTCTACTCTTACTGAAACTGCAATTTCAGTTACATGAAACCTGTGGCTTTACATTTAACCCCCATACATAATTTAAAAAAAAAATTGCGACTTTAGTTGAATTTGGAGAGGGAGGGTGAATTATAACGTAAGAAATTCACAATGTAAACTTATAAAAGCTTCTTAATAAATGACTAATAAAAATATATAATTATATATTACATAGTTTTGGGTGCTAGCTAGGAGAATTACATTGAAAAAAAAATGTAATGTAACGTAATGACTAGTAGATAAAAAAGAAAGAAAAGTGAATATATTTGTTTGGTTAAACATAAGATCATGATCCCAAAGATAAAATTGCCCCTTCTGAAAAATAAAGAAAGTGCGTACTCCAATTGCATATGCAGAAGCATACTTATAATCGAAACACACAAAAATGCTGAAGCATTCGAAATTATCTCCATATGCAGAACAATGTCTAGCAACCATATGCAGAAGCATATTTATAATCAAAACATAAGCAGAAGCATGCGAAAATGGGAATGAAATCACAAGCACAAGTTTATAAAACCAAGAAGCAACATAAAGCTACCGAAGCATTTTGTATTCCATATATGTATATGAAAAACTAGAACGACAATGGAAACGGAATCACAAGCACGAGCTGAAAGAGCAATAAGCATATTCAATCGACACACGAAAAGAACGGTTTCAAGCAGTTAGAGCAAGCAGAAAGATATAGGAAGAACAAATACAAGGAGAAAGTATCAGAAGCAGAAACGATTTCTCCTGGTACGGGATGAGCTTACCGGTGGCTGCACCTCGCAAGATGACTTCGCTTCTTCTGCTGGGGATGGTTTTGGGCGATAGGTTTGGAATTAGCTGTGAACTGTCAAGCTACTCAGCAGTTATTTTTTTGGGATACCGATAATAATGGGAGGAGATCCCCTCCTCATTCCTTCCCTCTCAGATTCAATTATTTTATGAAACAATCATCATAATATTATATTAAAAAATAAATAAATAATTTTAAATTGTTAAAATTTAATCTGCATAGTTTATAACTGTAATAAAATAAATAAAAAAAATTAAGTCATAAAAAAAATTAATACCAAAATGCAATTGTAAACTTTACAGGTTACATTTTAACAATTTAAATTTATTTTTAATTTTATATGATAATATGATAATTATTTTATGAAACAACCATTCATTTTGTTGTTTAAGGGTGAAGATTGTAATATCCTAGATTTTGAATTTTGAATTTTAAGTGTTAAGAAGGGTAAATTTGTCAAATTAAGATATTTATGAATTTATGATATTTTTGGGATATTAATAAGGTTTTAGACCTTTGCACAGCTTTAAAAATAAGTTAGGATGGTATTCAATTTAACCAGACTTAAGAGGGTGGCCAAAATGGTATATGGCCTTGTTGTGCCATGTGCTGCAGCGCATGACTCATTTTAGAAATAAATTAGATGCAAAATACATCTAATTTCAGAAGAAGAAGGTGAGGAAACATAAGAGAGGAGATGAAGGGAGAGCTCGTTAGTGCTAGGGTATCATTTTAGGAGCAATGTGGGAACATTTTGAGCAAGGTTTAGCTTTAGGTAAGCTTCCTATACCTCTCTCTCTCCCTTTATGCAAAATTTCTGTGGTTTTAAATATTGTTGGGGTTTGATTTCATTTTTCTTGAGTTGTAATTGAACCTATTAGCTTAATTAAGGTCTTAAAGAGTTAAATCAAACTTCTAAACTTAGGTTTAAGATTTTTGTAGTGGTTTGAGATTTTTTGGCAGGATTTAGACGAACTCTAAGTCAAATTTCAGCTATTGGGAGCAATATAGATAGAGATATGTATTTGTTTAAGTGTTTTGGTTGCAAAAGAAAATTAATGGAGTTTATTAAAAGTGTTGATGATATTAAAGGGAGATTTTTGGTATGGTGGATAACCAAAATTAGGCTAAAAAAAGGGTTTAATTAGAATTGTAATTATTGATTAATGTTTAATCTACATTTAATTTTGTAGATTAAATATTAATCGTGTTCCATTATGCAAGTGGACACTTGTGGAGCTTGTATTTCACCATGATAACCATTTTAGTGATAAAATAGTTTAAGTAACCTAATTATTTAAACTTATTATTTGTGTGTTTCAATGGTTGTATGGAATTGCGAAAATTACTTCATATTTATTTTGAACTAGTATACTAAAATATAAAATGATTGGAATTTAGAAACCCTATGTTAAGTGGAATGTGCTCATATGTTTGCATATATGGATTTTTTGAAATATTTCATGTTAAATCCTATGTATATGTGTATATACTTGCCAAAATGTATGATTCATTATGAAAATGATTGTTCATGAATAGATTACATGTGTATAGCTATGTGTGGAAATGTTTGAGCATAATGTTTGGACATGATCATTGTGAAAGGGTAGGAGTTCACCCTAATGTTATTAGTAGATATTGTATGAAATCTATATGGTATACTAGCACCATGAAAGCCTTGATGTTTAGTCTTATTCTTGTTTGAAAGTCCCAGTACTATTTAAGATAAATCAGGCATATGGCACCTCTGGCATTCAAGGAAAGGGGGAATATGTGGTTCATAATGGATGAAGGCACCTTAGGTTAGGGCTGCCTCCTATGATTGATGAGCTTGAGCCAATCCTGTCACATTGACTTGGTTCTATCAAATTGTTAGCCCATAAATTTAATCAAAAGAAATAAGAAGGGTATAAGGCAATGTGTTGATCATGCATATCATTATTTTATAGCCATATGTGTATGTAAACTTAATATCTAACTTGCAAGTTTTATTACCACTTCACATGCTCACTAACTATTCTCATACACGAATAGTTTATTTAGATTATTTAGTTACTGAATCCTCAACTCATCCTATGATTACATTTTATAGGAAAAGACTCTGATAGGAGTAAAGGGAAGGCAGTTGCTATTGAGAGTTGAGTTTGCATGGTGCCCTCTTACTCTTTTTTGCAATTGCAATGAATTTGTATTGAATATACCAACTTAGGAACATACGTTATTTTGTTACAGTTGCATAATATTATGTAATTGTGGGTATCTCGGCCAGAGAGGTTGTGATTGTGATGAAATCATTGTTAGGCACCGAGATACTAATGCAAGTGCGTTGTTGTATTGTTTGTATGTGTGAAATGGCAAAGAGAATGTTAAATGTGATTTGTTGTCACCCTTTGAATTATGTGAATTTGGTGTTTTAATTGTCAATTTGTATTTGGAATGCTATTGTTGTTGTATGATTAGTTTATCAGGTTGTTGGTGGTCCATTTCAGTTGATTCAAGTAGTTCTAAGGCTATTGGCATTAGGTTGGGGAATTTGAATACCCATGTTGTGGTTTTAAATTGAAAACGGACTAGAATTGTGTCTTGGTGTTCAATTTTTGAATGGTAAAGTATATGGATGTGAAACCTATGCCAATAGCTAAAGGGCTCAATGAGCTATATATGAATACTTAAATTGTTCAAATCGAACAGGGTAAAATAGTGCGCTTCGAAAGTTGGTATTAGAGTGCTATCATGATAATAGGGGTGGACTATAGCACATTGCACAGTGAGAGATGTAATCCCTCTTTGCTATTCGCCACAGTAGATGATATGTATGCCATGTTGAATATAGCATTTTAGGGGTTGTCTAAAATGTCTTTTTTTATGCTTGATTGTGATGTTAATTAATTTTCATACTTCCATTACTTTGTTTAACTTGTTTTAAACTATGGTTTGAGCCCAACTATGTTTTCAAAAAGGGTTTCTTAAGATCCTAGTCTTTTAAACCTTTATTTAACCCTTGAGTTATGATAACTTCATATAAATAATTAAGTAATCCTAATTATCATAATAGTGTTATGTGTCTCATGTTTCATTTCCTGATAATGTCAAGATAAACATTATAAAGATGAGGATGAGGAGAAGAAAAAGGAAAGGAGAAGATTTTGGACCTGATAATAATAGTTACTTAATTGTTTTAAAAAAAATTAAGTGGTAAATATTGATTCAAATAATTGCCTACGAGAATTTCAAACTATAAATTGAAAGTCATATTTAAAATTTAAGGCAGTGTTTAAATTAGTAGATTTGAATTTAAATTGCAAACTGAGAGTTATATTGAAATTTAAAATAGTGTTTAGATTGGTATATTTGGATTTAAATCTCCATATATTTAAATTTTTGTGATTGAGTAATTAACAAATAAAAGTTATTATTATTAGGAAGTATTTTAAGGGTGCATACAAAGATTTGAAATAACAGATGGAAAAAAACAAAGAGATTTGAAGTGATAAAGATTTAGAAAGGATTTTAATTTATGAAGGAATTAAAATAAAATTTAGATTTGTATTTTATCCAAATCTATACAATTTTAAGTGTAGAATAGGGATTTAGCCCAAATATAAATTCACACATTTAAACATTTTATACATGTCTTATTTGTAGTTAGAACTCTTAAATTTATATTTATCTAAATCAATATTCACAACTAATTGTTTAGTAAATTTTGTAGCACCAAGTACCATAAATTCGTTGGTTTGAGACTTTAATTTCATTCTCCCTAGTTTCTTAGGTGACATTATATAAAATTTAGAAGGGATTAAAAGAATGAAAAAATTAGGTAGAAATTCCAAAAATATAACCAAGTTCGTTAGAATCTAATTGTCAATTCTTATTAATGTAAAAAAGATCACAATGTTTAGATTTAGTTATACATTATGATATTTCAAAATCCCAACCTAGATGGATTTAATGGCCATTTTTATCCATACTTAGGGACTGAGATAAAACCTTCTCTTCTTGTTATGATTACTGAATTCTTTGAAGGAAACTACTTGGTTACAAAATTGAATGAGACCAATTTGATTTTGATCCCTAAAGTGAAGAATCTCAAAACTGTATTTCAATTTAGACCTATAAGCTTCTATAGTGTTGCTTATAAGTTCTAATATTCTAGTCAATAGGCTTCATTTAGTTCTAGATTCATGTATTTTAGAGCACCAATACCTTTATGCCTAATTGCCTCCTTCCAGATAATGTGATTATAGCCCATGAAATCTATTGTTACTTGGAAAAAAAATTTGGTGGCAAGTATAAATTTGCCACTAAAATGAATATGAACAAGGCTTATGACTGCCTTGAGTAGACTTTCTTGAAGGAGGTAATGCTGAGTATGTGTTTTTGCTCCAAATAGGTTCATTGGGTTTACATTGTGTAGATAGCATGAATTTCGATATCCAACTTTTTGGTTGAACCATTGCCAAAATCCAACCACGAGGAATACATCAAGGTGACTTTCTTTCCCTACTACTTGTTTATTTTGGTTTGAAGCTTTCTCTGCCATGATCTCTACTTTTACAAGGCATCACAAGGGTTGTTTGAGGGTAACATTTTGCTTGTTTGCTGATGACACTTGGTGTTCTTGATTTCTTATAGACAAAATTGCTTGATCTTTAAGAGAATTTTGTCTGATTATTGTTATGTGTAAGGCCAATCTGTCAACTATGACAAATCAAGCATGTTTTTCTCTATTAATGCCCTAGATGATGTTAGGCAAGCTACTATCTCTTCTCTGAATATTGATGGTGTTGACAATCATGGTAGATAGTTGGATTTGCCTATTTTATAGGGTAGATCTAAGCGTGTTGCTCTTGCATATGTTAGGGATAAGATGAGAAGGAAGGTGCAAGAGTGGAAATAAAAGCTCTTAACTTTATTTAGGATGAAAGTTATGATAAATGTAGTCAGTAGTGTAATCCTAATCTTTTCTATTTACTATTTCAAAGTTCCAAAGCATACTTGTATTGAATTGGACAGTTTAGTATCTAAATTTTTCTGGAACAACAATGATAGTGGAGGTAAAATCCACTGGGAGGCATGGAAATCACTTTGTCACTCGAAAAAAGATGAA